CTCTACATTATTCTTTAGTGCTGCATAGCATTCCAGTATGTGTATGTACCATAGTTCGGTCATCCACTCTTCTGCTGATGGGCATGTAGGTTGTTTCCATCTTTTTGCTATCATAAATAGTGCTGTGATGGACATGAACGTTCATGTATCTGTTCCTATCCTGGCTCTCACCTCTCTAGGATATATACCTAGTAATGGGATTGCTGGGTCAAATGTTATCTCCAACTCCAGTTTTCTAAGGAGCTCTGGTAGCATTGTGCCTAAGGCACTTGACTGCTAACCAGAAGGCTGGCGGTTCAAACCCACCAGCCACTCCTTAGAGGGAAGGTTGGGCAATCTATTTCTGTAGCGATACTGCCCCGGAAACCCAAGGAGGGGTCGCTATGAGTAAGGTCCGACTCACTGGCACATAACAACAACAAGGAATTGCCTTATTGCTTTCCACAGTGGTTGTATCACTTCACAGTCTCACCAGCAGTGTATGAGTGTCCCAATCTCTCCACATCCCCACCGGCATTTGTTATTTTCTGTCTCATTGAACCTTGCCATCAGTGCTGGGGTGAGACGGTATCTCTTTGTTGTTTTGATTTGCATTTCTCTGATGGCTAATGATTTGTGAGCATCTCTTCATGTATTAGCTGGCCACCTGAATATCCTCCTTGGTGAAGTGTTTCTTCATGTCTTCTGCCCATTTTTCAATTGGATTGTTAATCCCTTTGCTGTTGAGCATTGGAGATTTCTATAAATCTTAGAGATAAGTCCCTTGCCAGATATGTAATTATCAGCAAATATGAATTTATTGCTGTCATTTTTGTTGTGTTTTTTTTTGTGGTGTCGATTTCTTTGTTCCACATAATTTTCTATGCTGACCTCGTTTTGTTTATGAATCGTGTTATCACTCCCTTCATTGCTACTTTTTTAGTATTTGCTGAATATTTGTACTGGTCCTCTTTTTTCTTTTGATGTGAAGGTTTATCATTTTTCTTTGAGGTTACCCTGTGATTCATAGTTTTCTTCCCGAGTTTGTTGTTGTTATGTGCCGTCGAGTTGGACCTGACTCATAGCGACCCCTCCTTGGGTTTCTGAGGCAATATCACTACGGAAATAGATTGCCCAGCCTTCTTTCCGAGGAGTGGCTGGTGGGTTTGAACCACCAGCCTTCTGGTTAGCAGTCAAGTGCCTTAAGCACTGCACTACCAGAGCTTCCCAAGTTTAGAACAGTCTATTCTATCTTGTAGTCGTGTTGACTTTCCTACCATCTAGAAGTTCTGTAACGATCCAGTTTTTTCCCTCTTTTTTGTTTGCAACTGTCCTCATTTGTTGGTTGGTGTCTCTGGTTCCCTGTTTACAATCTTGTAGGCTTATTTACTTTGGATACTTCCATAGCTGGCTTGGATTCTGGGTTATATCTTCATGTGTGTTAATGGTCAGTTGTTGTAGGCTGTTGTTGCTTCTCTGTCCAAAGGGCTCCCTTTAGCATCTCTTGTAAGGTTGGTCTGGTTTTAACAAATTCCCTAAATATGTGCTTATCTGGAAATGTTCTAATTTCACCATCATATTTGAGGGACAGTTTTGCTGGGTACATAATTCTTGGTTGGAAATTTTTCTTTTTCAGGGTTTTAGATATACCATCCCATTGTCTTCTCGCCTGCATGGTTTGTGTCGAGAAATCCGAGCTTAGTCTTATTGGTTGCAGGTTATCTTCTGTATCTCTGTCAATTTTTTGTTCTTTGTTGAAGAGGGTCTGTGTCACTTGTCTGCCTATTCCTTCATTTTACCGGAAGTCCCTGGTAATGTACTTTCAAAAGGTCACGGCTGCTGAAAATCCTCTGGAGTGCTGTTCTACTTTGAGACCCATGGAGTTGCTGTGAGCCTGAATCAAGTCCACTAGCTACTGGTTAAGAGCTGCTGGGGGGATTATTTGCATGTTGGAGGGCTTGCACTGAGGTTTGTCTTTGCCGTAGGACGGCCTGAGATGGGTCTTGAAATGAGAAAACCACCGTGTGTACATTTGTCCCAGGCCCAGGAACTCAGTGTGTTCCAGAAGGAGGAAAGGAAGCAAAGAGGAAAGAGAAACTAGAAGAGGAGGAAGGGAAGAAGGGAAAAGATGGTCTGGACAATTCCTGTGCCCCCAGCTTTCCTGGTCTGCCATGTGGTACTCCAGTGCCTTGCCAGCCACCAAGAAACATCCAGTTTATTTGGGTTTTTCTGAGCAACCACCACACAGTGGCTCCATGGGAGAAAGGCATGGTGCTCTGCTCCTGTAAAGATTACAGCCTAGGATACCTGAGGGGGCAGTTCTTCTCTGTCGCACGAGCTTGCTATATGAGTTGGAATCTACTCAGCAGCACCCAGCAACAATGTGCCAGGCACCTACTGTGTGCTGTGGGTTTCCTGTTTTATCTAATCCTCACCCAGGTCCCACAGGGTGGCCACTACCAAATGTGGAAACTGAGCCTCAGAGGAGTGAGAGAGCTACCCAGGGTCTCCCAGTGGCCTGAACAGCAGGACTCAAGCCCACAAAGGTGTCTGTCTGTTTGTCCGTCTCTCTCATACACACAGTCTTACCGACTCGGGGTTCTTGACGAAGACCTTGGTGCTGCCCATCTGGTACTGGTCGGGATCCATGTTGACGGCCCGGAGCAAGTGCTGGACCCCCTGGCGCTCGTCCCCACGCCACCGTGGCCACGTCTCGGGCGTCAGAATGGCATACCTGGAGGCAGAGGGCCGGTGTGGGGGCATGTGGAGCAGGCAGGGCCGGCTGGTGGGCACAGTGGGGGTGGGATGGGGCTGCCTGGCCACGGGGCCTCACCTCTGCAGGAATTTGTGGAACTGGCGGCGGTAGGCGAAGCCTGCCCTGCGCACCCGGATGTTCTCCTTCAGGCCCAGATACTCCACCTGGTGCTTGACCCTGAAGGGAGGGCAGCCTGAGTCCCCTGATCCTGGGGGTTGGTGCTATGGGGGATGCTGGGAAGGACAGACCTGGGCCCAGGGGTCTGCACTGGTGTGGGGCTGAGTTCTTGAGGTCTGGGGTATCAGTGCTGGCGCCAGGGGTCAGCCTGGGAGTCAAGTTCTGGGGGTAAAGCCTGGGCTTGGGGGAGGAGTCTCTGCTTATCCTGCTGGTCAGTTTTGGGGCCTGAAGTGTTGGGGGGCTGTGTTAGTCCCTGACAATCCTGTAGTTGGTCTGGGGTCATCCTTGGGTCTTGGTTAGTCCTCAGCGTCACCTTGGGACCCCAAGGGGTTCTGTGTGGTTTTAGGGACTAGCTGAAGTCATTTCTAGGATGGGTTGTAGGGCTCTGGGAGGGTCCATGCTGGTCTTGGGGTGGGGGTCACCTGCTTTCCTCCCAGTCACGAGGTCTCTTGGTCTCATTGGGTTTGATGCAGCGGATGTAGTGTGGCGTGCATCTCTTCAGCGTGGTCACCAGGTCATTGGCTTGTTTCTAGGGGTGAGGGGAGGATAAGAAGGGGGCTCAGATGGGACCCTCAGGTCCCATCCTTTTCCTCAGTCTGGACACAGACTCAAGAGACAGACACACTGGGGGGTGAGGAGTATCACTGGATGACCCTGGGGCTCAGGTGGCCCTGGCCTTTGTACACGTGTTAGCCCATGCCATGTGGCATAAGTATTCTCTGTCTACCTGACCTTGGTGTCCCTGGGCAGTGCAAGTGGTTAATTCATTTGGTTGCCAACCGAAAGGCTGGTGGTTCCAGCCCACCCAGAGGAACCTTAGAAGGAAGGCCTGGTGGTCTACTTCCAAAGAGTCCATCACAGAAAACCTTATGGGGCATATTTCTACTCTGACACATGTGCAGTCACCGTGAGTCAGGGGTCGATTCCTCAGTGCTGGTTTTTACTGGACTTGGCCCTTGCACCCAAGGCTGGGGGTTCTCATGTCCACTGCACTCAACATTTAGCAAGAGCCTGGCACATGGCAGCCAGTTACTGTCTGTTGTTGTTGTTATGTGCCGTCGAGTCAGACCTGACTCACAGCGACCGCTCCTTGGGTTTCTGAGGTGGTATCACTACAGAAGTAGATTGCCCAACCTTCCTTCCGAGGAGTGGTTGGTGGGTTTGAACTGCCAGCCTTCTGGTTAGCAGTCAAGTGCCTTAGGCACTATGCTACCAGAGCTCCTATTTGCTGTCTAGTCAACCATAATTCATGTACACAGGGAAGCTGTCATGCTGGCGAGTGTTTTGGTGTGCATATTTTCACCATAATGAAAAAAATATATGATGATGGATCACTTCTGGATTTAGGGAGCTGGATGGTCATCAAAGAAGCTGATCTAAGCCCCTTAAACCTGGAACTGGAGGAAGAACCTTCTGGATGGAGGGTAGTGAAGAAGAGAGAGCAGAGGCCCTGGGAAGGGGAGAGAGATTCTGTCAGCTGGCGAGACTGGGACCTAGTCCTCACTGCGTTCCTCAACCCCTCGCTGCCTCAGACCCACCTTGATCTTGGATCCTGCTGTGCTGGGGCGGCCCTTCTTGTCTCCATCCAGCTTCTCAGGAAACAGCATCCGAAGGAAGGCCCTGGGGTGGAGAGAGAAAGGCATTTGGAGGAGCTGGACCTGGGGCACCTGCCCTGGTGGGGCTGCCTCAGTGTGTGGCACCCAGAGGGTACGCTGCAAAATAAAATTTGCTGGGGCTCTGATAGGTTGGTTTTGTTCTTTACAGCCCTTGATTGTGTGCACTTTTTACTTCTTCCTCCATGGCTCTATGTGTCTTGTAAAAGAGTGGAGATGAATCAAGTCGTAAAAATCATCAATTGTCAGAAATAGATAACACATTGGAAGGGCAAAGGAGAAGAATTGATGCGATGGAAGACAGAATTAATGAGATGGAAGAAAAATACCTGAATACT